GCTGAAATTTAAGTCTCTCTGTAGACCAGAGGTGGACAAATAAGCTGGATCCAGCCCACCAAGGGATTTTATCCGCCCTGCAACAAGTCCCTTAGCCCTACGTCCAGGCACAGGGGGCAGCTCAAGTCATGACACATGCATCTGGTCTCCCCAGGTGCACAGTGGGGCTGGGGTCGCACAGCAGCAGCTCCTTCCAGTTGCCACCACTAGTGCCATGGTTGCTGTCAGCCCTAGCCCTGCTGCCCGGGCACTCTGGCCTGTCTGTTCTGTACCCGCTGCTGGCTCGCCAGATGGAGCAGGCAGGTGGAGTCTCCATAGAGACCAGCCAAGGACCTGTACAAGCAGGGTGCACTTGACTGGGTGGGTGGGATGGGTCTGTGAGTGGGCAGGGAGTGGTGTCCGGAAGCAGGATGGCCAGGGCCGGGATTTTGAGGCAGTGACAGCACAGGGCTGGGGCCCAGGACAGAGCCACGATCCACTGCCCACATGTCCCTGTGATGAACACCAGTTTCATGGGCAGGGTGTGCTGGGAGTTGATCACAGCTCTGGCCCTGCGGTGTCACCCCAAGATTATGGTCCTGGCTCTGTCCTTCCAGCTCCTGGGCCCTGCTTCCTGCCCACCTGTGGCTCCAACCCATCCACCTAGCTGAGCACACCCTCCTCACACAGGTCCTGGGCCAGTCTCTACAGAGACCCTAAGGCCAGGATCTTGAGGTGGTGACAGTGAAGAACTGGGCCCCAGAACAGAGCCACTCTAGAGAGTTTTGAAGAGCTGTTGCTGGCCCTTCATCCCAAATAATTGCCCACCCCTGCTGTAGACCATGACACAGGCAACTATGGAACCATGGCAATTTTCAGGATAAACCTTGGCAAAGTTGTAAGTAACTGGTATCAGTCTAGTAATTGTTCACTTGTATTCATTACAGTCACATTACCAAAAAGATGAGTGAGATATTAAAAAACCATTATGACAAAACCATGTTTTTACAACTCATGCACTGAATGCATCATGCATCTTCTGTTGTACTCCAGATATTGCCTCTTAGTTAATCTGTGAATTCTTTCTATTCCTTCATTCCCCACTACTGTTGTCATAGAAGAACCTAGTCAACAGCTTCCTGGACCATCTGGCTCTGCAGACATGTCGTATTTAGTTTTGTGTCTTGCTGGATTCTTCCCCATGGGCAGGGAGTGGTAGTGTGGTTATCTGTATCTAACTGTTTGTATTATCAAGGACGCAACCCATATCAGAAACCACTGAAAGCGCAAGGTATTCAGCCAGGAAGGAGTTGTAGATACAACTGAAGGGGTTTCTGTAAGAGGGTTTTAGGTTCCAAAGATTAAATCTTTGTTCACTATTGAACTCATTGGATATGTCTACACCAGTGATGCTCAACCTTTTGTTTGCACAGGCCAGATTGGGCCCCCTACCACCTCCGTTGGCTCTGAGCTGCAGGATTGGGGCCCACAACACCTCCAGTCAGCCCGTGTCCCCCAGATAGGGCCCTGGGCCACCTCTGTATCCAGGGCTCCCCATGAGTCTGGAAATTTGGCATCAGGGGTGTGGCAATTGCTGCTATCACTCTCTCACTGCCAAATTTTTGGACCCCTGAGGACTTCTGCAGGCCAGATCACATGTCTCTGGCTGGGGGGTTGAGCACTCCTGGTCTTTACTACTTTATCACCAGATACGTCTGTGGTGTAATATACTGGACTGTTCCATGTGTGCTGCATCCTAACCCAGAAGTAACATAGCCATGCTTGCATGTGCTGCTCTTGGGCTAACCCATTTTGCCTCCCAACAGGGATAATTAGCCCTCCTACAGCACAGCACCTGAGTTCTGATTCAGGAGGCCATGCATGTGGGACAGAGTGGCATGTTTCGGCAAAGTGGTGCAGTAAGAAGTTCTCCTTTCCCCTTTGTGGCTGCCCTCTAATTTAGTAGGGTTCTGTAACCAGCAAATGCCATGTGAGCTGTTGCCTGCAGGGAACCCTAATTTCATGGTTTGAACAGGGAGCCTAACATTTCTATTTCTAGTTGCACTTCTGCCACTAGTCTGCCACTAGTCTGCAGCAGCAGTGTACTTTGAAACATGATTATAATTATGCCTTGCTGTCCACAAAGATACATGAACTGATTTATAGGTATGGGAAGAAGCTGAGACTCAAAAAAAGGTTAAGCGAATTTCCCAGGGTTACACAGGAAGTCATTACCTAAGTAAGGCTGCTGGCTTGTATGGAAAGAGCAGCACAGTGGATCCAGGATCCAGATCCAAATGGATTCACACCAGGATCCAGATCCAAATGCTACAAAATGAAACTGCAAAAGTGGGTCTGGTAACTAGGAAAATGGTTCACCCCAGTCAAATCCACCCACCGTTGTTCCCTTCTGATTTACATGGGCATAAACAGAGCATGTATTGTGAAAGGCAGAGTTGGTGGAACTTTATTCTGCAATAAAAAGTCCCACCCTCCTTAATGCCACTACTTTATTAGCAGTGGAACCTCTGTCCTCTGATATCAGCTCATACCCTTCTACATGTGCTGACCCACCAGCACCTTTCTTCCCTGAACCTCTCCAGTGGCTCGATCCCAGACAAATTGGTAGTCACTTAGTGAAGAAGTCTTTGGTGTGAATGGCCAGGTGAAGTTGTAGACATTTTATTTTGGTTGAACTGTAAGTTAATGAATATATAAATCAGTCACATGTATCACGGTGTCACAAAGTGCATCTGAAAATACATGGGGATTATTCCATTCCAAGAAGTAATTTAGCTTGTGCGATATGAGGGACCATGACCCCAGTTGGAATGGCTCATGCAGTGAGCAATTTCTTATACAGGTATGCTGGGATCCTCCTTGGAATCACAAACTCATTTGCCACTATCCCAGGAATGGTGGGGCCAGTGATTGCCAAACTCCTGACTCATCATGTAAGTTTACTTGCTGGTTGTTTTACCAATTAAATTCTGAATAATCTCATACGGAGACTCTCCCTCCTTAGATCATGTTTTCTTTAAGGATTAAGACTTAATGTGTAGATGCCAGTCTTCCTCTTTGGTTATTAAAGTGACTATCACATTGATAGTAAAATCTGAAGTTGCATTGTGAACAGTTGCAAAGGTTCTAACAGTGCCTTGGGCTTTGTCTTTCCCATGAAAAGAATTTTTTTTTTAAATGAAAAGTTAGATAACACACAGATGTTAGCTAACTTTAACATTTGTGTTAAAATCCTAGTACAGACAAAGCTGTTCTAGTATTAATGTGTGTTAGCAAGTGGAGATAAGTATTGCTTTGGTTAGTTATGGAAGAACCATGGATTTCTAAATGAGATATTGACTCCTGAATTCAAAATTTGCCAATTTAACCAATAAGAAACAGCTTTCAATTGTATGTATTTACAATGTGCAAGTCTTTTTGTATATATTTAGGGATTAGTATGCTAAAACACTTGTCTTAGATGGCCATCTAATCCTTCTAGATCCTACAACTATTTGGTCAGTGAAAAAATTACCTGATGATATAATTTTAGAATTATATGCAGAATTATTTAAACCAGTGGTACCTAATCTTCTGGCCCCACAGGCCAAATGAGTGGTATGGGGTCAGTCCAGGGGTGCGCTGACTAGCCTGACGCAATCCCACATGTCCAGTGTGGCCCGTGGAGCCCTTCACAGATCTGGAAATTTGGCAGCAGGGGAGCTATGAAACTGCTGCTCTTAACACTGGCACTGCTCCCCCACCACCAGATTTCCAGACATGGTGATACTCCATGAGCCAGATGACACGGCTTCATGGGCCAGAGGTTGAGCACTCCTGATTTTAAATCGGTGTTTTAGGAAGGCGAGGTAGGCAGTGAGTGTACTGGTACAATAGGTGAGGTGTCTGCCTTAGTAATCAATCACACCAGTTGTTGCCTTGAAATAATACTGCAGTATTTAATGCTGTGAGGTCAGACAGACCAGTTTTGGGACAGCTTCACAAAAATTTCTTATATACTTACTCTGTTTACATTATTCTGTTATCCTTCCCCTCTTTTTACCAGTAAGATTGCAAAATTACCATTATTTTAAAATTATTTTTAACCTTGAAACCTCTACAGTTATACACAATTTAACCACTTTTGTTTTTGTTAGTGGTTTTCAGCCTCAGCTGGCTTCGTGAGGGTTGTCAATATAAGAAACTTTGCCCTTGGTTTTACCGACATACCTTCATGGACATTTTGTTATATTTTGATGATTTTTGGAGGTTGGAAGGACTTGGGGCCAAAGTCAGCATGTGACTGAAAAACTGACTTAAAATTTACATCTGGAATAAATACATTGTAACCAATAGTAAAACTAGTTGGCAAAAAGCATAGGAGAGATTTCCGCTCTTGGTCTGAAAGCTAAGTAATTCCTTTCCCTTAAGATGACATTCTCTAAGTATTTGGTTAGCCCCTATTTAGTTTTGAAATAATACATGAGGAGGATGTTTCTACTTGTTAAATGACAAGTTGGCTCAGCCAGCCATTATCACACCACTGTTGGAATGTCATTGCAAATCACATGCATTTAAAACACAGTAGACGTTTAATTGGACCTGTTATGTTTTTGTAATGCTTTTGATGTCAATATAAAACTGCACTTGTATAAATGTAATTAATTTTTAAAAGGAAGAATATGTCTGCCTATCGCTTTAATTAGTTCATTCTAAAATATAGACCTGCAAACTGATTACTTTTCTTCTGGTTTTTTTTCCTTCTCTTGGCAGAATACTATGGGAGAATGGCAGACTGTCTTCTATATTGCTGCTTCTATTAACTTATTTGGAGCAATTTTCTTTGCATTATTTGGCAGTGGAGAAGTGCAGGACTGGGCAGTCAGTGGATACCACATGCATAGGAACTGAAGGAGTCATTGAAATACCCAGGCTGAATTGCTTTGTATTAAAATCATGTGACCTGAAAAGTGCCTTTCACATTGATGCCTAAAAATCTACAGAAGTTCTTCAGTTTAATCATTTTATCTTTGTCCTTTTTGTACTGGAAGTCATTTGATAGCATTATGTATGCTGTTTCTGTAACAAGAAACTACTTGGATCTGGTACTAGCCTCATGCTAGGAATTTACATGAGATTTATATGTTCCTAAAATTTTAAATCAATGTGTTAGGCAAGATTTCCATCCAGTCTTTTTAGCTAATACTTTCTGAAGTAAAGTGCGTAGGGTGATATATTTTATCATTGAAGGGGAGGTGGGGGGGAGAGAGAAGTAATTGTGTATGATGCTGCGTGGAGGACTGGAATGCAAAGAATGGAATGCAATAAGCAATGGTCTGGATTGTCATGATGGAGTTGACATGTTTCTACAATTTTAGCCTCCAGGAACTTCCTGTTTTTCTGTAGCCTTTTACCTCATTTTAATTTTATTTTTTATATTTTAATTACTATTGGAATCCAAAACATTTAGAATTTTACATGCACAAAATTATAGTATATAAATATGAGTTCAAGAACGTGGCTTCATGTTGGATACAGAGAAATCAGAGAGTGAAGTACATAGTAGGTAGCTCAAACAGTGGGACTAATGGCGAGGAACCCACCCTTTGCTCCCTTTAGTGGTGTAAAATTTTGACATACTATATGAGGCCAAAGCAAAGTAAAAGCAGTGGATTCTATGGCTTGACCTTTAAGGCACCTTAACAACAAACTGTAAGTGGAATATCTATGTAAGCAAGGTCATTAAAATGGTTTTCAATCCCAACAGTATTTTTTTACTACTGCAATGCACAGTCTCAACAACAGAATTTTCAAAGTTTTTTCATTGCATTGGTTTGTACAAATCTGCCAGTGGAAACATATTAAAATGAAGCAACAGAAACTAGAAAAAGCACTTCAGGGTTCTCTTCTTCAGTTAATCCAGTCTCATTCATAGGATGAGAAACAATATGAAAAAAAACTGCCACAACTTCATTTTTGGAAGCTGCCAAGGCTGCTGTAGTTCAAGTCAAAAGATGGTGCTATTAATCACCATCTGTGTTGGAATCCAACAAAATGGGTGCTACTCACCCAGTTAAACCAGTGCTGTGAAAATGAGTGTTAAGAAAGAATAGGCAGTTGAAAATCAGAACCCCCGATTACAATGCTAATAATTGTAGATCAAGCAAAAATTCCCCTGGAAATTCAGGATTGGAATAGAAGGGTGAAAGACATTTGGTTTAATTTTTCCACCTCACATCTATATGAAAAGAAAACCAGGCACAACTGCTAAATGGTGCTCTAGTGGATCCTACCTACCTTCATTTCTAGGAAATGACAGCTGCTTTTGGTCATCAGCATTAAGGACCATTTTCTTTTGGCCTGCATTGAAGTATCATTTTTGTCTTACAACACAGCTTTAGTAGTTTCATTGTATCTGCTGTTTTTTCACAATAAATGGTGTCAGATTCATAAAGAAATATGCAGCAGTTACTGAAAATGACCACTTTCCCAAACTTAGAGAATCTTCTAATAGGAAAACAGAAAATACACTGTGTGGGGTAAATTCATGGGAACTGCTGGTAGGCTCCTAAAATTTCACATGCAGTCAGCCAGCTGAACTGTATGAATAGAAGGAATGGTTTCAGTTTGTCCAGGAGACAATTTGGCTTGTGGCCCTTCTCATAAAAAATAGTGCCTGATAATGGAAAGGGTTATTTTGGCATAAGCACTGTTCTGAAGGTCTGAGATATGACTTCATGCCCGCTCTGGCAGAAGCAGAAATTCAACCAAGGCCGCCTACTTCCTGAGTGAATGTTCTAACTACACTTCTCCTAATTGAAAGGAAGGCAGTGGCTGCACCTGCTCTCCCCTTCCCTTTGTTTTATGAACCATGTTTCATGTAGGTCTAACACTATATTCCCCTGAACCAATTAAATGCACCCAAAGGAGAAACAAGCTCTCTTTACTTAGCACTATAATTGAGAAGACCCTAAACATTTTACTCCTGGTGAAATCTGAACCATATTTTTTTAATTCTTCAGTCATGCAATTATTTTTGCAGCTCTACTCTTTATTATTCCAACCCTCCTCCCCCCAAAAAGGCATCCAATCAGAAGTTTTCTTATAAAAACTTTGAGCCATCATTATTTTACTTTATTGCTTGTTTTTCATCATTTCCCTCCTTACTCTAGTATAACTGGTTTGTTCATTTTGCCAGCTTCTCTCTTTTTCTTTAATATTAGTAATAGTATATAGTGTTTGCCTCTTAGTAATGAGTCACCATGCTACCAGCTTATCAAAAAGGTGGTCCTTTTTAGGACTGTTGTAACAGTCAACAATCTCAGTCTAGCTCCCATCCTCAAAAGTGGGTTTTTTGCTAATTCCTCCCCTTGTATTACTGTTGAAACGATTAGTTTCTCCCGTGTCGTTGACTGCAGTTGAGCGCTCTGTACTTATAGTATTGTGTAGGCAGGCAAATCTGCATGTTGTAAAGGGAGTCTGATTTGTAGTGACAACGTAACTCTCACTCCCTCCACCACATGCACACACTTTTCTTTGCATGTTTCTGTGTTGGAGAGTCCCATAATCTGCCACTCTACAAATGGTTCTAGTTGAAGATTAGCGAAGGGCTATGGAAACATTTTTTGTCCTCTTCCTCAACCAGTGCCCTCTGTTCCAAAATACTACAGATGTTCTATGCTGATGATTTCCAACGGAGGATTATAAAAATATATTACGCTCAATACAAGCCGCCTTTACCAAGAGTCAAAAGGAAACTTTGGAACTGCTGGAAGGACAACATGATCCAAAATGTACATAAGGCAAGCAGGTTGACTAATCTAAAGTGTGGACAGAAGTGTAGCTCTTGGATCTAAGTTATGGCGCTTCATACAAAGTGTCCTCAGTTAGACTGATCCTCCCTACCCAACAAACATTCACTGTTGGTTAGGGAACTCCAATTTGGAGCTGATCCACAGGGTTTACCAGCCTTGCTGAAATGGGGGATGGGTGGCTTGGAGTCCTCCCCCACCTTGAGGGGTGCCGGGTGTGATAAAGAAAAGTGACCAAACGCCAAACACGAGAGCAAGTTGTGCTCGTGGCGTGGGGGAAGTGGTAGGTGCGGCCTGATAGCCACATGATCGGTGTTCCAGGCCCACGCGAAAAGCCTCTGACGTAAAGTCAGAGACATAATCTAATTGGCCGAGCGACCGCGTGTTCAGGGCGTGATCAGTGCATGCAGCAAAGTTCCCAGTTCATGCAGCCCGCGCAGCGCGCCAAAAACAAATCGCCAGATGTACTCGGCTCAATCCTATTGGCTACCCGAGCAGTATATCTGGAAAAAAAGAGGGGGAGGAGGGAGAACCCATGCGATATCGGAGAGGCCTGATCACCCTCACCGGAGGTCCTGCATCCACGAAATCCCTTCCCCCCGGACGCCCCCCCATCGCGACCGAATATATCGTTCAGTCGTGTAAAGAGCTCTTGAGTTACTGGCAAGGCTTAATCTTGAAACTGCTGTAAGTAAAGCATTCATTTGTTACACCGCTTCTTTAATTGTTTTCCGTCAACGGGAAAAGATAAGGGAAGGGGAAGCAAGGTCCCGCAGCCCTTTCGTCCCCGGCCTGTTCACGCAGCACTTCTCGGGGTCCAACCACCCCCTGTCAGGTTGGTCATGGCGTCACGAACAGGATCCTCGGGGCAAAGGGGAAACGAAGGAGACATTGACGAGCTAATCAAATATTGCCCATGGGGGAACCATCACTAGCCCCCGACCACGGACGCTGATACTCTGTGGGCCCACGTGGCGTACCATCAAGCTGGGCAAGACGGGAAGATAGGGGGCTATGTCTCCATCCGCCCGACTGAGGGCAGCGGGGAGTCGCTTAAAGAATGGGTCGTGTCTGGCCTCAGTCCCGCAGCCCTAGGATGCCTCCTTTCCCGCCCCGCGGTTCTTTACCACCCGCCCGACACAAAACCAGAGGTGTTACTTAGCCGCGTCAAGCATACAGGCACAGACGACCACGCTCCTGCAGAAGAGTATGCCAGGTGCATCCAGTACCTAAAGGAGGGGAGCGGCTGCGAAACCCCCCCCCGATAAATTCAGATGCCCCAACCTCGATCCCAGGGGCGCCGAAAATGAAATCCTAACGGCACTCCGTGAGAGTCTTGAGACTGATGGGCGGGACGCCACAGGGCGGACAGGGCAAAAGTGGAATAAGGGAAAGATGATTAATGTCCTGTTTCGCTCGATGACCACCTTACTACGACACGTGGCAAACCAAGCCAGCATGATAGATACGCTGAGTAGAACAGCCGCGCAGCAGAGTACCGCACAGCCCGAGCCACTGCTTAAAAATGGCGCCACGGGAGAAGAAGGAGTGGCCGAAAAGTTCCGGGCGGGAAACCCCGACGCTAGCAAAACCCCGTCGGCCCCACCCGAGGAACCGCCCCCGTTTAACACCCCGCCGCGGCTATATTCCGCTCTCCCCGCCGACATAGGCGCACCCGTTCTGCATGCGAACCCTGTAGCCTTAGTGAAAACTGTCACTGATGGCGCGGGAACCCGCACCCTAACTACCTTCCGCACGCACACCAGAGGGGAACTCCAAGAGTTGGTAAGAGACACCCGACTAAATCCGGGTGAAACACTGGTGATATGGTTGGGACGATTAATATTAGAACACGGGTCAGATTTAGTAGACCCTGAGGAGTGTACTACCCTAATGCGCCAACCCGCATGGAGCGGAGGAGCGTGTAGCGACACGACTCAAATACTGCACAACCAGGTTTGGCCAATCCCTCTGTGTGCTGCCACGGTCCCAGCGCTGCTAAACCGAACTCACGCTTGGCATGCGGATCCACCCGGTGATTCATCGCCCGCACAGCTGTATGCAACAGCGGGAGCCAGTTACTTAACCTGGGACGCCGGACAGTATCCACTAACCCTGACTCCACACCAGGCAAACAGTGTTTGGCTGCATCGCTGGTGTCATGATCCTGGTAAGATCCCTGTGTCTGCATCAGCAGTAGAGGCCTGCGTTGAAATTTACAGAGGTATGAATACACCCATGTTCCGCTTGTTATTACACCCACTGGTAGGGGGGCTGATAGGGAACGTCCTAAGTAGCCTGAGAAAGCTTACCACAGCGCGTAAAATGGAACCCAAGCCCACTCTGCGAGCGGCAGTGCAGGCGGTAGGAGCGTGGGGAGCACGCCTAGTAAACCCCGAACCAATCGCTCGCCGCATGGGCGACCGCCGGACCGCACACCTGAAGAACGCGCCATGTTTGGCTTTCTGCTAAACAAAAGCGGCCTGACGAAGAATCAGCTTCGCGGGCTAGGAGATGAGGGGCAAAGATCACTGGCGCTGAACCTAGGCTTTAAGCCTAGGGGGCAGGAGCCAGACAAAGAAAAAAACGAGTGGCGGGCGGGGCTGAGCGGGGCGTGATGTGTTGAGACCTGAAACGCCCCATGTCAAGACTTCCAAAGTCATCTTTGTACAAGGGCTAAATGCCACGACAGCCGTGCCCGTGGTCAAGTTTTGGATCAAAAAAAGGGCCCTGTATGGAGTTTTAGGGGGCATAAACATCTTGGGCATCCCCCTTAAAGAACGCCATATACCTAGCACTCTCATTGACTGTGGCACCAGGTGAAAAACACCAGCCAGTGCTAGCAAACCCTGCACCCTGGCGGTATCAGCCAATCCCGACGTGCACTGACCTGCAGCCTCAGATCCGAAACCTCTTGGCTGACCTGTGCAAGCGAGGGTGCATTCAGCCCGTA